ATAAATAAAATCTTTAAAAAAAAAAAAAAAAAAAAGGAAGAATGGCTAGAGTGGGCCTCTCCAGAACTGCCTTGCCCTCCCCCTTCCTCTGTAATTCCTCTCTCACAGCGTTTGATTTTACTTTTTCTAGTCGGTACTACATTTCGCTAAGGACAGACTGACAAGCTCATCAGAAGGCAAATTCCCAACGTCTCCTCTTTTCCTGGGCCTCAGATAAAGCATTCATTCTCTGCAATAAAAAACGCACAAAAAAGAAAACAAAAACAGAAACAAAGCACTGCTCTTTCTAGCAATTTCTCCGGTTCCTCTGGTGCTATGCTATCCCAGGACTTGGTCCTTCAATCCCCTTAAAGTTGTTAGCTATGAGGCCCGCTCGCTCTTTCCAGAACAGCCTGGCCCAGCTCCACGGCTCCTACCTCCTCTAACGGGCTTTGCTACCAGGCAGCCCTCCTGGGAGTCCTCTGCCTCCCGAACTCCCAGGCCCAACATAAGCTCTCTGAGAGCAAAACCAGTTCCACTTGCTTCTAACATCCCACCAGAAAGCGCTGTTCCTCCCAGGCCTTGGGTGGTAGATGCTGCTTCAATGGAAGAAGACGGCCTTTAGCAACTATCGTGAGTAAAACCCCTTCCCACACCCTCCCAGGTCAGCAGCATCGCCCACCGGGCCGGACGGAGAGACGGTAGCCACCCGCTGCTGCCGAACCATCCCCGGGGGCCCGGCGGCCCGGGAGAAACACCGTGCGTTACCCTGGTCGAAGCCGCTGCGTCTGTAGTAGGCCAGCGCCACCTCCTCCACAGAGCACAGGACTGCGGCGGGGGCGGCGGGCCCCCCAGCCTCCAGCACAAACACGGACTTGCCCGTCCCACGCTGCGGGCAGAGCCGGCCCGTGATGGTCACCTGACACAGCAGGACAACATCCATCAGCCTCCCTCGAGCTGCAGTCCCTGCAAACCTGACTGCCACGTCACCTTCCGACGTCCCCCCCTCCAGCCACCTATTCTCAGCAGAGCGCGAGGCCACGTGACCCATGCTCCGTGCCTGCGAGGGTGTGGACCGGCCACTGCCCCGGCCCCGGGTGTGTGTGGGGGCGGGGGGGGGACACGGACCCCAAAGCTGCTCTCCAGGTGCCCTGACCAAGCAGGAGACACTGGCGAGGGCTGTGAGCTCCCGACCCAGGAGTTTTACAGGGAGTCACTCAACCCAGCGCACGAGCAGCCCAACCCCCCGGCCAGCCCAGCTTCTGACGTAGGAGGCGCTGGTGTGAAAACGGAGTCCTGTCCTACACGCGCACTAGGGTTTTCTAAGTCTACAAGAAAATGCACACAAAAACTGTTCTTAGGCTGTTTCCATTCAGGAAGAAAACCAGCATAGGCGCTGAAGTCCAAAGTGCCCAAAGGATATCGACTTACATGTTTAACGTCATCCACAGTTATTTCTGGTAGCTGATGGAAGAGGTGCCTGTACTTCTGACAGTTCGGAGACTCTCTCAGGCGCAGAGCTCTCTGGTACAGTGAGAGACGGTGTCCTGTTCGGACTTCCGGATCTGCCAGCCCTTCTGTGATGCACTTGATAGCCTAGCGAGGAACACAGCCCCACATCAGCATCCTGAAAGACCTGAGGGCAGCAGCTGCTCACTGAATGTGACAGGAAACCCCTGTTAATTATCCAATGTCGCTAACTAGCAAATGCGCAAAGCAATACTTCCAGAGATAAAGGATATTCCTTAGATCTCATGCTGCTACATTTCTCCCTTTCTCTCTCTCTCCCTTTCTTTCTTTCTCTCTCTCTCTCTCTCTAAGTAGGCTCCATGCCCAACATGGGGCTTGAACTCCCCACGTGAGATCAAGAGTCGCGTACTCTACCGACGGAGCCAGCCAGGCTACCCCGTCATCCTGCTACTTTTAATGATCAGGTGCACTCAGGAACCACAGAGCTGGCCCAGAGTCCTCATTTACAGGGAGAAGAATCTTGGGTTTGGAGAAGTTAAATGCATTTCCTAAGGCTATTCAGAGTTGGACAAAAAAACCCAAAAGAACTGAAAATACCATAGCATACCACTTCACGCCTAATAGGATGACTATAATCAGAAACAAGGAAAATAGTAAGTGCTGACAAGGATGTGGGAGAAACTGGAACCCACATGCACTGCTGGCAGGAATGAAAGAATGATTCAACACTGTGAAAGTCAATGTGCGGTTCCTCAAAAAGCTCAACACAGAATTACCGCATGACCCAGCAACGCCAAATCTGGGGACATACCCAGAAGAACTGAAAGCAGCGTTTTGAACAGATATTTGTACACCATGTTCATAAGCAGCATTATTCATAATAGCCAAAAGTGGAAGTGAGCCAAGTGTCCATGTTGAGATGACTGGATAGATAAAACGTGGTCTGTCCATACAATGGAATGTTATTCAGCCTTGAAGAGGAAGGAAATTCTTATACTTTCTACAACGTGGATGAACCTGGAGAACAAGCTGCTGAGTGAGATAAGCCAGAGACACAAAAGACCAAATACAGGAAATATCTAGAACAGGCAAATTCAGGCTGTAGGGGGAGGGACCAAGGAGCAATGACTAGCTGGCTATAGAGTTTCTGTTTGGAGTGATGACAAAGTCTAGAAATAGACAGTGGTGATGTTGGCACAAACACTGTGATTATAACTAATGCCACCAAATTGTTATATATTAGTTACTACAATAAGAGAAAAAAAGTAAAAACAAACACCACCCTGAAAATCAGTGAAAGATCTGGCCATCAAGAGCTGAATGGTCAAAGGAACAAGGAAGGGCGAAGGAGACCCGGCCCCGGCTGCTGAGCACCCTGCTGATAGATTCCTTCACCGGAGACTGATGTAAAGAAATGAACGCGGGCACCTGGGTGGCTCAGTTGGTTAAGCAACTGCCTTCGGCTCAGGTCATGATCCCAGAGTCCTGGGATCGAGTCCCGCATCGGGCTCCCTGCTCAGCAGGGAGCCTGCTTCTCCCTCTGACCCTCTCCCCTCTCATGCTGTTTCTCTGTCTCTCTCTCTCTCTCAAATAAATAAATAAATAAAATCTTTAAAAAAAAGAAAAAGAAATGAACGGGACAGTAACAAAATGATGAAGACTATGAGTGTGGCCAGGAAGATCTTTGAGAAAAGGCTAAAAGGAATGAGGATTTTCTGTCAATCTCAAAAATATCTCAACGGCTCGTCTACCTCTGTGCGCCTGAGTCAGTGCTCCTATTAGTGGAACTGTGAACAAGGGGGAAATCCAAACCCTTTCGAACTTCTATTTCAATGAAAGAAACAGGCAGCATAAACACAGGCTTTCTCTGCGTTCGGCTGTGGGCTACCAGACACTATCTCTCGCTATTTCAGCCTGAGTACACACCGAGAGGTAAGGAAGCACCACACCCACCTCCAAGAAAACAGACAGCTTTCACCAGCTTGAAGCACTTTAGGTAACAAGGCACTTTTTCAATTTAAGGTAATAAAAATAGTCTGTCATATTTCCACACCCATGGTCAACTTTTCCACCTCCAAATCACCCTGATTCACTTCATGTTGCCGCTGGAAAAAAACAAAAGCTTCCAGAGCCCCAGTCCCCTGCGTCCAAGGCAAACGCAAGGCTGGCAGGGAGGAACCCCAGGCAGCCACACAAAGAGCCACTGTCACCTCTGGGCTCAGCACAAGCGGCCTTCGGAGGCCCCGCCCTGCTCAGCCCTGGCGGCAACCAGGACCCTAGACTCCCAAGATCCCTGCCACGGAGAACACCAGTGCCCGGAGGAGAAGGTGGCCTGCTCAGCATTGGCCAGACAACACACTTCCCAGTGGAAGGAAACATCTTTCATCAGACTTTCTACCTGGAGGCCCCATGCAACAAATGAGTAAAATCACCATTTCCAAAACAAAAAGCACCTTCCTTGAAAGCACCTGCTGAGGACGGGGACCTCTAACTCTCCTGCTCCTGTAATTCCTAAACCCCAACACAGAGCCCACTACCAACCCATCTCCCAAATCAGTGAAAAGTCTCCTGCCCTCCTTGTAATGCTTCTGTTAGCATTTGGGGGGTTGGAAGAACACAGACAAAAGAATGTTAAAAAAAAAATTCTCATTATACTTAGGTTTCTAAGGTATTAAAAGTTGGCTATGTATTTTCACTTATGCAGAAGTTAAAGGCTCAGGTCTATCTAGTTACTGAATACCGGTTCAAGGCGTTTCAAGTGCTGGTGTAAGTTGAGTGCCAGTCTATCCCACCACCGGCCTCTGCTGTCAGGACAATACACTCTCTGGGACAAGAGGCTTTCAAGCTCCTTGACTGCTTCCTGTTCCAACAACAACAAAGAAAGTACATTACATTCATACACTCCAAAAAAAGGAACTGCATTTAGTAACCAATAAGGTTGGCAAAGTACATTAAAAAAGCCCATCTGCCATTCTATAAGGAGGCCAAGGACCCCTTTGGGGTCCAGACCTCTGGAGCAGGCCCGAGCCCCCGAGGCATCCCTACTTTTCTCCTGCCAACTGGTGAGTGAGTGTACAGAGCTCTGTGAACACTGCATGATCCTCTCTGCACAGCCAGTCAACGGGTGCAGGGCTGCACACAATCAAGTTCTAGGCAGCCAAGCACTGGTCCGGGGCTGCAAGCCCACGTGCTTCTGGGAACACAGCAGGTCACAGGGCCGATGGTGTGAGGAATGGGGTGGGCAGACAGTAATGAGCAGTGTCTTCGTCCAAACACGCCACCTTAACAGGAAGACTTTCTGGTCTAGATTTATACACAAACTGTTCAGTTTTTGTGGTTCAGGGATCTCTTTCAACATCTAGTGATTCCCCTCAGAAAGGGCAGCACAAACCCCCATATACTTGCAACTGTGGGGTTCACAGACTCCCCAAAGCAATCCCATGGATCCTCTTGGGTTTAGTGGGCCCACGTCAAAAAGCCAAGTTCTGTGTATCCTCTTTGTAAAATGGCATTTTTCCATATAGAAATGTTAACATAATAAAAGTTAACTCTAGGGGCGCCTGGGTGGCTCAGTCGTTAAGCGTCTGCCTTCGGCTCCAGTCATGATCCCGGGGTCCTGGGACCGAGCCCCACATCGGGCTCCCTGCACTGCGGGGAAGCCTGCTTCTCCCTCTCCTACTCCCCCTGTTTGTGTTCCCTCTCTCGCTATGTCTCTCTCTGTCAAATAAATAAATAAAATCTTTAAAAAAAAAAAAAAGTTAACTCTAGCAACCACACAATGTTTTGTATAGGGAGGGATGGGACCAAATCTCTGATTTGTGATTTTAAATTATTTCCAGGCAGACCATGCCAGTTGTCGGGCAAACACAAGCAGATGTAAGGTTTCCACCTCAGAGATTTCTGGAGACCTCCCAAGTCACATGTGGAGTCCTGACAGAGACTCAGGCTCAGGCTGCAGAGGCTTAGTCTGGGGCTCCCTGCATGGCTCCATCCAGGACCCCCAGGCTCTGCTGGTGAATGCACCGCAACTCACGAGCAGATGAGACGGCTGGTCCTCTTCGGCCGTCTCCCCACTAACCCTGGAGACAGCAGGCTGCCCACATCAAGTCTGCTTTCGTGACATTACTGTATGCTGACCAAATACGTGGAAAATGCTGACGGGCAGGCTCTCCTGCACAGCTTACCGATGACCTATCAGTAAGCCGGGGGTCGGGGCTTGTGCTCTAACCTCATACATGTGAAGTCGCTGCAATATTTCAACAGTCCGAGACAAAATCCGTGTATAAATCCACCCAACAGTAAAACAGCGCAGAAAGAGTGGTAAATTCTCATGGTATCTAAAATGAAGACGGACACCAGCAGCTTAGCAATCTGATTTATTCGTGGCAAGACAATTATAAAAAGTGACAAAGCAGATCGAATTCGTAGCTTTTAAAAAGATATATTCCATATACTGTCAGTTGTACACAATTTCCTACACCACAAACCTGCATTCTTCTAGCCAGCCACCATTTCCTAGCGCACTTGCTGGGGTAAAGTAAGAACAACCGGAAATCTTCTAAGCTGGAGGTCAGCAAACCAAGGCCAAATCCTGGGCCCGCCAGCTGATTTTGTATGTCCTGCAGACTAAGCATGGTTTTCGCATTTTGCAATGGTTAAAATAAATGAAAAGGAGAATAACAGTCTGTGGCATGTGAAAATTATATGAAACTCAAATTTCAGTCCATAAATAGTGTTGGCATACTGCCCCTCTGGCTCGTTCACATTCCTCCTGGGGCTGCTTCTGCCCAGGGGCAGCTGAGGTCAGCAGCTGCCACAGAAGCTGACGGACGGACCAGCTGACCTTCTACGAAAGTTGTCTACCAACCTCGGGTCTACAGTCATCTAACTTCCTGGCTATGACTTCTTTTCTTTCTTTGATGAAGAAAATCACCTATTAACTTGTTTTAACCATTTGTCTTGCTGTTTGGTGCGAGAAATGTTAATAAATTTACCTAACCTGTCGTAAGAAAATCTTCCAATGTACACGGATATCACAGGAGTAGCGACTCTACATTGGTTATCTCGTTTCTAGAAGGGCTTTTAAGTGAATGGCTCAATTTTCTGTGTGAATTACTGAATACTTCTAAAGGAAATATGGGCAAAATATGCAGTTATTTTTTTTTTCCCCTAACTTTAAAGGTCATTTTCCTGGCAATGATTTTTAAGTCATTATCATTTCTGTATGAACTTTAAATCCAAAAGGTTTTTTTGAAAGAACTATTTAATAACACAAATTTTTCTCATCCCTATGTGAAAACAAAGGAATAAAATTTCTTAATACAGAATATATTTAACATTGATCAAGCAAAAAAATAACCATGTGCTGTGTACTTGAACTTTTAAAGAAAATGTTAATTTAGTTTTCTTTTTCAGATTACCACCTACTTGAATTTCCACTGGAAGAACACATCTAGCATGGCTCTCACCACCTCTGTCCTGCTGCTGGGTTTCCCCCACATTTAAATTCAGCTGATCAGTACTCAGAGAAGACAACGTACCAAAAGACGGTGAGTTAAGGGGGTGGGGGGGTGTGCACAAAAAGGGTGAAGGGAATTAAAAGGTACGGACTTTCAGTTATAAAATAAGTAAGCCATGGGGATGTAATGTACAGCATGAGGACCATAGTTAATAATACTGTATTGTATAACTGAAATTTGCTGAGAGTAGAAAAAGATTTTGTAACTATGGTGATGGATGTTAACTAGACTTACTGTGATGATCATTTTGCAAGACAGAAATATCAAATCATCATGCTGTATACCTGAAACTAATATAATGTTATATGTCAATTATATCTCAATTTAAAAGAAAAAAAAAGAAGGCAAGCGAAAAGCCATCTGTCTGCTCCCGTGCCTGTTGCACAGCGATCTGAGTTATAGAAAATTCACTTCAGACTTGCAGACATTTCCTTCTACGTCATACAACACTGACTATGCAAAGCAAGTGGGGAATTCAACTGCAGAGCTGATTTGACCACAGCACAAAAGGACTAAGTTCTTCATGAAGAGATTTACCTCAAGTGGTCGAAACAACTTGGTAGGTAAGTAAATTTTGACAGGTACCTGGAAAAGATCTCACCTCAAGGAAGGGTGGCTTTTCAGTTTGTTCCAATCACTTTTTGCACACTGAGAGAGCTCGTGAGCTTCTTTCCAGTTCCCATTGGCCATCGCGGTAGAAATGTCACTCAGCATGTGTGCAGCAGCTGCGTATCTGGGGGGAAAACCCCACAGCATCTAAGTTTCAAATGTGAATGAACATTCACGTAACAAATACCACATCCTATCCTCGAGATCTACTTCTGAAGGGTAAAAGTAAAAACACAGTACTACTGCCCTGAAGTAGCCTGAAACACTGAATACAGGCCAGCCAGCTAGAAAGATAAAAACCTTCGCACCGTATTATTACATAACATGTTCCATTATATAAATGTACTATTGACAAGCTCATCGGTTCTGATTCTTGGTACTCATTCGTTCATTCAACAATCTGGCAGCAACCCCAGAAACACGGAACTGACGGCGACATCACATTAGGGCGTAGATCTGGTAACAATCATTTGGTCAGAGAGAGCCCGGCAAATGCTACCCAAAAAGACACTCTTTGGGAGACAGCAATGCTGAAAGGTTATGAAACCACTTAGCTGAACAAAGACAACTTCTCATTGCATCTTTAGGTACCAAAAACAAAGACATTTGCCCAAGTGACACTTTGAGTGCCTGGTCATTGTATTTTGGGCTCACACCTAAAAGAAAAGCATGAAATATCATTATGGGCAAGTGTGCTCAAATAAGAATAAAAGAAATTGCTTCTAAATGTAAAAATTTGCACACTAACTCTTAGATCTAATTCTCTTATAAAATGCTACTGGGTAATTCTAAGGTTGATAAGAAAATGCAACAGGCAGAATTGTCCGGAGGCTGGCCCAGGCCCACAGGAGCTCCTCCATGGTCAGGAGCGGCCCCCACACTCCCAGCCCTGTGGCCCCGACCAAGCCCCACCTTCGAGGGGCCACTGAGACCAACCCCATCGTGCCTCATCTCCCGGTCCACCTCCAGCACCACTGGAAAGGGTTACCAGCTCTCGTCTCCTCCGTACCTCCCCGGTGCTGCTGGGAACTGCCCCTTCAGCAGCAACCCCCAGTCTCTTGCCTCCTCTAAACCCCGGCTGAGAACACGGCTTCCCCCTCCCTGCCGCACCCCCAGCGCTCTCACGTGGGGGATGGCTCTTCTCACAGCCCTCCTACCCGGGGACGGCGGAGATGCCTCTTCCTCCCAGCTGCTTCCAAATCTCACTCTCCCCTTCCTGAAAGCCCCCCATTCCTTGGAAGCCTGTGCTCCCTCCTTGCGGGCAGCACCTGCCTCCTGTCTTCTGTCTTGCTCTGCCTCGTGTCTCCAGCCACAAGGGCCCGAGACGTCAACGTCTGAGGATGAAGAGCACGCTCCGCTTCGAGACCTCCTGGCCCATAACCCTTTCTCCACCTCCCTTCTGCTACCCACATGCCCACGGCCGCACGGACCCGCTGTCTCCGAGGCACTGCATCACCCTTAAAATCTTCCCTTTGGGCATTTCATTCACTGACCTCCGCCTCCAATCCTTCCGGCTCACTTACGGCCACACTTCTCCAACTCCACCGAGAGCCACTGGCACCCCCTTCTCCAGCCATCGTGCCTCCTGTCCTGCAGGCCTCCGTGCCCTGCCCGGACGTGAATTCGCACTGGACGTCGGGCCCGTGCTCGTCACGGCATCCATGCCGACCACTTCCTCTGAGCCCGCACCCGGCTCCCTGAACCGCGCAGATGAAAGCAACAGGGCCAGGCCGGTGGGCTTCCAGGCCTCAGGCCAGCCCTGCTCCCCTGGGGAGCCTGCCCAGCTGCCCACCCTGCGGGACCGCTGAGCCTTCCTTTGCTGGCCCGGCTGCACCGGCCCCCCCCCCCCCCGCAAGCTTCCCCATCAGACCTCGCCCACAGGGACAGAGGCCACGCGAGGGGCCCTCTCGGCTTCCCGTCACGGCAGCCTCCCGCCAGTGCTCCGGACGCCAGGCCCTCCGGTCTGGCCGCGGCTCGCCCTCCTCTGGCTGTCCCCTCTTCCCTTCCGGTCAGGCCCTCCTTTCCCGCCTGCTGTCAGGGCGGGAGCAAACACGCACCGCGGCGCCGCCGCCCCCTCAGACAGCAGAACAACACTGCTTGCCTCACACTCCCCTGCGGCAGCAACTGATTCAGGGCCAACCCCTGACTCCCCCTCCTCCCAGAGCTGCCACTGTCCTCACGGTCACCCTCCACCAGTTTCCCTGAAGCACCTCTCACCAAATCCAACGGTCTACTTCCGGCCGCACATCTACTCAGCCTCCGAGCGAAGGCGGACCGGCGACCACCCCTCCCTGAGCCACTCTCCTAAGGCTTCCATGTCGCACGCGCTCCTGGCCACCCCGCACCCAACTTTCCGGGCTGTCCCTGCTCTCTCCCTGACCTCTGAACGCTGGCTGCCACAGCTCAGGCTGCCTCCTCCCCCTCAGGGGTCCCTCCAGTTCCAGGGCTTCCAACACCGTCCACGTGCCGGTGACTCTCTCCAGGCTGGAGCTCCTCCGTGAGCTCCTGCCAGCAGGTCTGGTGCCAGACCTGAACGGCTAGGGGGCATCCCAAACGGCGATCCCCACCCAGTGCCCGCGCCCCTCCCGCCATCCCTCTCCTGATCCCCCGGCTCAGGGATGGTACCACCAGCCCAGTCAGAACACCAGAGCCACCCATGACTCACGCCTGTCCTTCTCCCACTGTATCTAGTCAGAATCATAATCAAGGCTTGTCACTCCTCCTTCCAAAATAGCTCGTACATATTCACCTCGCCGCTGCCAACAGCCGGTCAAGACCTTTGCCTGGGCCACCAAGGTTAGGTCAGCCTTCTTGTGGCTTCCCTTGCTTCCTTTCACCCCCTATTCCATGGGATGCTTTTGGAAAATGTGAAACAGATCACTGGCCTGCCTAAACCTCTTCATCGGCTGCCCATTGCTCAGAGAACACCACTGAGTCCACTTATGGGGCTTCTGAGGCTGAGCATCCCCGGCCCTGCATTCCTGTCTAACTACTCCCTCTGGGGCTGTGGCCACACGGGTCTTCTGAGTTTCTCCACCTCAGCAAGCTCGCTCCTGCCTCAGGGCCCAGAGGCACACACCCTGCATGGCTAGCTCCCCCTCAATCCTGAGTCTCAATCCAAACGTCACCTCTCCAGGGACACTCTCTACAAAGTGGAACTTGCCCAGCCTGCCCCTCAGTCATACATGCTACAATTCTTCTGTCTTATTTTCTATCTCCCCCAGAAAACATAAACCCATGGTGGCAAAGACCCTCTCTGTTCTTGCTGCAACCCACCACCTAGGTGCATAATAGGTTCCCAGCACTCAACTCAGGTATATTGAATAAATGAGGAAAAAGAAAAGACAGGATAAATTATTTCAAGTACCATCGTGGCCAGTAAGAGTTCTCAGACCAGGTATCGTATTACCAGGTATCATATAATTACCATTCTTGAAGTCAGTTAAATCCAATTTCATTTACATGTTAAGGCCCTTTGGGTAACAAAAGAAGTTTTAGTTATTATTTACAGGATACCTACTTTCTCAAAGGAATTTGGCATGGTTTATTTTTTTCTCCTAGCTCCCCACTTTTGAACTTGTCAACCATGGTTTTGTCATTCATAGAACTAAAAAGTAATCTCCCTTAGATATGCCAGTAATCAGGACAATTATAATGCTAACTAAGACATACTAAGCTATCCCCAGGGGCCAGGCTCTAAGCACTTTACATGTATTAATACAGATCTGGAGGAATATACTATTATTCTCCCCATTCACAGATGAGGAAACTGAGGCCCAGGGTGGTTTCACAGTTCATTAGTACAGAGAGATTGGAACTTGGCTTCAGGGTACACAGTCTCATGAAGGAGAACAGCATAAAGTCACTAAAAATGAAAAGGTAAAAAGATATGAGACAACTCAAAACAGAGTAAGGACATATTCTTATTATTAGAATGTATTCCAATCAGACACAAATAAGACCGCGAGCTTCCTGAGAGCTAAGCAAACTGGGCTGGAGTCCATTTATATGAACGCTGCTTTGATTCAATAATTTCAATGTTATTTTTTAAAGCACACATTAGATAAACATAAACGACTCTCCTAAAATCAAATATCAGAATCAATTTCAGTTACATTTGAGTCATAAACTTTAAGTCAAGAATCAAAAGTGCCATTTTAGGAATCTGAATTAATCTTTCTTATAAATGATGGGTTTTTAAAAGAAATCCAAGTATTTTTTTCCTCTAAGACCAAACCATTCTTTACCAAAACCTACTTTTGCCAGTCAAACCAAACATTAACTGAGTGCATATACCAAAACAGATTGGTGACAATCTCTAATCAAGCATGTGCATGATTCGAGTATACACACACAAATTAGTATTGGCTTTATCTGAAGCGCTATTTGTTAAGAAAACATTCATCTTCAGCCTTGTTCGTGCCAACAACATATTCACAAGGCAGGTTTGTTCAAATGTCTGTATTTACAAAATGTTTCCTGCTAAAGCTATTTGGGAATATGAGCCAGGGAAAATTTTTATAGTTCTAACTCAAAACTCATTGGTTTTGGCAACCTTAATCTAAGCACATTTCTACATTCTCCTTATAGTCTCAAAAACGTATACAAGTAAGGCAGAAAGACAACAAAAAACAAAAAACTTCAAAAATTGCTCTGGCTATGGACTTAGGTTTCTACTGTAATTGGCAAGTAATAATAATGAAACCTTTTACGTACATGTAAAGTGACACAATTTTTTTTTTTTTTTTTACAGTTTGAAAAGCTAAATATCTCAGAGACTGCTTTATTCTCTTGAATAACCAGATAAGAAGCACCCCCCCAAAAATCCTAGAAATTTAGAGATTTTTGTTTCCAACAGCTGTAAATTAAAAGTGTACAAGATACGTTTTCAAACGTATGTCCTATTTGTTTTGCTTTACAATGAAGACAATGAATAAATTTTTTAAAATGGCAGACACAATATGATATTTACAATGGCTTACAACAAATACCTGAAAATAATTTCTAATTTTCCATTTATTATTGCTATTTAGTCAAAGAAAAAAACATTGTCCAAGAAATTTATTTTAGCATATGCCATATACTGATATAATAATTTTATATGAAGAGAAACCATTGCAGAAGTGACAAATACGGTGTCCGTACAAGGAAATAAAGAAAATAAACCAATAAATTCTTCCATGTAAAGACTTTTGATCTGCATTATTTTTTTCAAAATATAAAACCTTAATATTAGAAGCAAAGAGAAAAACAGCAAAGAAAACAATAAAACAGAAGACCAAGGATAAGGAACTGCTTTGTGCAGATGCTTTGCATATGTAGTATATATGTATGGGCTGAGTTATAATAAAAATACTTATGTATTATAGTCAATTCTCATGTAGGGTCAGAAAGCAATTTCCAATCAAACATGACTGGACTGACATTTTCTCAGTCTTTAATTACATGACGAATTATAGCTGTGAGGCAGTCACTTCTGGTCAGCATTATCATGACAAATGCTTGATAAGATACAGTTTGACACAGTTATTATTACGAGCTAATATGATCTTACCTGATGAGATCGTCTCTGTCTTGAAAGATTTGGGTTTTCCGATTGATGGTGTATCTAGGAAACTCCATCCGGCCAAGACTGACCAACAGCACAGGAAAAAGCTGCCCCTGACCACCACAGGCGGCTTCCTCATCTTCCAGCGAGTCCGTCAATGTAAACAGCAGCAAGACCCGGGAGAAAACAGCTCGAGGACCTTTACAGACTCTCAGTGACTGTCCCGCCAAGCCTTTAGCTCTGAAAAATATACAGTAGAGAAATAACTTTCTGGTTTTTTTAAGAAGCATTTGGATGTTAGATTTTACAAATTATTTTCAGAAAAAAATAAAGAGAAGTGGCATTCATTATTCTAGGCCTAAAGTAAATCTACCACTTCCAGCTGTGTGACCCTGGAGCCTAGCTTAACCTCTTTGGGGCTCAGAGCCCACCTAGGGACATGGTGAAGATTAAATGAAATTCTATCTCCAAATGGTTTCATACATGGTTTGGCTCATAAAAGAGCAACACAGATTTACACTGGTCGTGAATGTGTAAAATACCAGGAAAACTCCCAAAAGTATTACCTGTTTGACATTAGCCATTCTCACCTCTTGACAAGTGACATCCAGATTAAATAATAGTTCTTTATTTTAAATGTCATTATTTGGGTGCCTGGCTGGCTCAATCGGCGGTAGAGCATGTAACTCTTGATCTTGGGGTTGTGAGTTTGAGTCCCGTGTTGGACACAGAGATTACATAATAAAAAATTTTTTTGGAAAATATAAAATAAAACAAAATGTCATTATCGAAAGCTGTTGATCAGGTAGCATAATTTTGTGAACCAAGAAGTGGTACCAAGATTTGGTGCTGTTCTGTGATGTGCAAAGTGGTCCAGAAACATCTCCACTCCAGGGTAACCTCAGAGTAAATTCAGTTTGATTCTGGATGCCTTCGAGGTAGGCCTGGAGGTCTGAATTAAATTCAGGGCCACATGGGCCCTCCGGCTCTTGCAACTTGGATACCATCCAGAACAGGGTTTCTCAAACTTGGCACTATTGACATCCGGGCAGGATAATTCTTTGTGGGGGAGGAGGGTGCTGTCCTGTGCATTACAGGGTATTCGGCAGCATCACTGGCCTCTACTCGCTAAATGCCAGTAGTACCCACCTCCCTCTTCATCATAACAATCCAAGATGCCATGTTCCCTGGAGTGCAAAGTTGCCCCCAGTTGAGAACCACTGGCCTAGTGGAAGACCTCTCTTTCCTATCCATCCCAGAAGCTATTAACCCAAAAGCAGTGCTGCATCTCTAGGCTGTTGTAGAAATTAGTGCCACCATCAGATACATGAGGGTGACAGGGGTGAGATTTCTACCACACCACTACTGAATTGAGAACCACTCATGTACAAAGACTGATAGATACAAAGTGTCCACTTCCTCCATCTCCATTCAGAGCCCCAGGGATGCCCCAGGTAGCCAAATCTCTGAGTTCAGAAGGAACTATTAAACATGGTAAGATAAACAATGATTATCTACTGGGATTAAGAAAGTATAAATAATGTGCCTTTTTCTGTTTCTTCCTAATAACACAGAGCACAGTAACAATGCACTGCCCTCCTGTGGGGCTGTCAGAGACTCGGGTTCCATTGCTAGGATCTACAACAAAATGAAGAAATAAAGTACAATCTTGAAGGGAAGTGATTTTAGCACGACTAAAATAGCCTTGAGAATCTTATGTTCCTACAAGTCCAAAGTCAGGCATAAAAAAAAAGTTAACCTTATTTCTTTTATTTCTGTTCATATGCTTAGTGCTTATGCTGAGAGAGGGCTGCTAATTTTATTTTTTTATTTTTTTTTCCTTTTTTTTTTTTTAAAGATTTTTTATTTATTTATTTGAGAGAGAGAATGAGATAGAGAGCATGAGAGGGGGGCGGGTCAGAGAAAGAGGCAGACTCCCTGCTGAGCAGGGAGCCCGA